CTATATAAAGGCCCTTCCCCTATGTTATTTTTCATCATTCAAGAATTAATAGAAATTCAGAACTTTTTTTCTTCCACTTTGCTTTAGATTTTCACCCAAATTCTATTGCAATTTTATTCGTTTCAATAGGGGCGGTTGTGGCTAGAGAAACACTATCGGCGATTCAAGGCGTGGGTTAGCGGCTTATCGACAGTCGAAACACACGATCCTCATCATTGGTGCTTTCATTAAGAGGTGTTGATCGTGTGTTTTTTTTTCCTACCCCATTCCCTTTTCTTTTCTTCCCATTTTTTAATTCGTTCGATCCAAAAAAAAAAATAAATAAAAATAAAATCGTTCATCATAATATTCATCTTCAACCACGAGTCCACAAAGTAAAGAGCGAAGAGAAGAAAGGAAAGCCATGGCCAATAAAGAGATGAAGGATAAAATTGATAATCTCGATGTCCAGTTCCGTGGCATGAGCGAAGCTATCGATACATTGGGCGAAGGACTCAAAAATACCAAGGCAACGGTACAAGATCTGATGGAAACCGTGAACAGGCGCTTTGACGAGATGGCGCGCACGGTTCTTGCACGCCTACCACCACCGCGGCAATACGACCGCACACAACACCACGATAACGAGCGGGACGAGGGCGAGGCACGACGGCACGAAGGGTACGAACGGGAGGAGGATTTTGACCGATAGTCCCAAGCATCTAATTATCGCGATCGACGTGCACCCGACAAGCCGCGCATCACGTTGTCCACGTTCACGGGCAGCGATCCGGACGCATGGCTCAATAGGGCGATGCAATATTTCGAGCTCAACGAAACCGACGGCCCAGATCGTGTAAGCTGTGCAGCTTATTATCTTGATGGTGAGGCCAATGTATGGTGGCAATGACTCACATGGATTTACCGTAAGCGGCAGCAAATTATCACTTGGGATGTTTTTGAAAAAGAGTTGCTTACACAGTTCGGTACGTCTGATTACCACAATTATAATGAGGCTCTCGCATGAATACCCCAGACAGGAAATTTGTGTGAATACATTAGGGAGTTCGAACGTCTAGCATGTCGCGTGCGAGATTGGCCCGAGGAAGCATTGGTGGGGGTCTTCATAGGCGGACTAAAGTTTGATCTAGCCTCTGAAGTTCGACTCGAGCGGCCAGACCCGATGCACGCAGCAATGGAGGTTGCCCGACGACAAGAAGACCATCTAGTCACCACATGAAGGGGATTGGCGGACGCCCGATTTACCGATACGCGTCGCACGGGCCCGAGCCAAGCAACCGCGAGCGTGAGATCGGCCTTCAATACACGACCATCGGGTCCTGTAGTCAGGCGATTGTCGTCTGAGGAAGTCAAGCGGAGACGTGAGAAAGGCCTCTGTTTTAAGTGCGAGGAGAAGTTCACCCCAGGTCATCAATGCAAACAGGCCTTTGTAATTGAGGTGGCCAACTCCTA